CCCATCATTTCTGGCTACATCTGTATTAGAAGTCGTGGTTATAAATCGCAAGGGAGGAAGCGTAATATTATATGTTAGAGACCAATTTCATGTACAATCGATCATCCTAGGGGGACATGATGAAGATACGTGTGTGCTAGTTTGTTGTACAATCAAGTTTAGATATGGGCTAGTGACTGTAGAAGGAATATACCGTAGTCCACGTTGTCTCGCTGACGACCTTATCTTAAGTCACATTTGTTCTCATAGTAAGGTTGCAAGCTGTCCCGTCATTGGAGATTTCAGTGCAACGCATATCAAGTGGACAGAGCTCACGTTTTCGTGCTGAGGTTCCGATAGTGACATTCTATCAACCATTATTCGATGTATGCATATGCAGTGTGTCTCAAAACGGACACTTATTAACTTGGGATATGAACCGTCGTTTCTGAACCTTGTCATTACACACCACTGTGACCATGTCATCGAAATTCAGCACCTTCCCCAACTAGCCAATAGTGATCATGTTGTACTTTACTTTGTTTCGGATACTTGGTGAACAGTACGTATCTACTCCACCTCAGCCCATGATCTGGCGAGCTGTCATTCGGGCGATCAGAGACTGTGCTATCACAGCAGACTGGTTGGTCGATGCAGATGGATATATCAAAGGCGAATGAGATAAGCTTAAAGCTAATTCCGAGTCCGTAACATCCCCGTTCATCCCATAGTTAACACGTAGAATACTAAATTGCCCTTCATGGATTAACAAGGAAACTCGAAAGCTGTTGAGGCACAAGAAACACTTATGGGACTTGTTCATGTCAACGGAACACAAATCACTTAAGTGTGAATCCGGAATATACGTAAAAAGACCACAGCTAGATGCTGTAGTCAAGATAGACAGAAGGCATATAACAGCCACACTTGCCCACAACGTTTGTTTCCTTATATCAAACGAAGAACAAAGAATAGCTAACGTTTTCCTCCATTATTACTGCACGAAAATTAAGATATTACTAGTTAAATCAGATCTGGCCGAAGCTGTGACTCCTCAGCGCTGCGCATCCACGATCCCGCTCCCCGCGAGATTCGAACCCAGGACCAATCGGTCTCGCGCCGGGCGCTTAGTGTTGGACACTAACACCATTGGATGCTGGCTCGATGGTCTAGTTGGTTAAGCGCCTGGCGCGAGACCGATAGATCCTGTGTTCGAGTCTCGCGGGGAGCGGGATCGTGGATGCGCACTGCTGAGGAGTTCCATGCTAGGACGAAACGGCCGTCCAGTGCTTCCAGGTTTCCAACGGTGGTCTAACGTCAATTGATTTATGATTTCAATCAAAAACTTAACAACCTCCACAACCCCTATACTGATATTCCAGTATAGTCTACCTTACGGGTATGGTTAACAATACTTGTCATAATCACACCACTGTGATGCCAGATATAGAACCTGTGCGTGTGAATGAGGGAACCGCTACATCGATTGATCACTGACCTCAAATCTAGTGAGATGCCGGGCCGTGATCGGTTACATCCACGATTGCTGTCTTCTGCCGTGGACATTATTTCAAGACAACTCGCGGTGCACTTTGACAGTTCCCCTTCCCACAGGCAAAACCATGGAGACTGGAAAGATGCTATAGTCAGTCCTATATTTAAAAATGGTCAGACATCGCGTCTAATTACCGACTTCTCAGTCTAACTGGCCTACCTGAACGAGTGGTATCTGCCCCGTCAGTGAACATTTTTAAAGGGCTCTACCTTTGCTGGAGAGCACACTGTTGGGATTAACATAGGTTGACCAACCTAGAATCCTTTTTACTGAAGGTGAGGGCCTCAACATTTCGAAAAACTGATTATAGAAATGAAGACAAGGAACACAAAAGAACAATGTTGAAATAGAAACTCAGATACTGTAATTTTTTAAATTATGTTCATGATGTTCTAAATCATGTTCGACAGTAGTGTCTCAGAGTTGTAGTACTGCTAGATTCTTCAAAACCAATGACACTTGCATCGCGACACTTTTTGCGCTACACTCTCATTTCTGCTTTGTGCACAGCTAAAATGGAAACTAATTATTAATAAATTTGAGTGTGTATTTTCTGTTCTCACAATTGAGAGAACAAGAGTTTCTCCATTTTGCGGTACATCGTATCACAAAGTCCTTTAAAATCCATTATTCAGGTTCTGCTGCAATTGTTTTCACTTATTTGCTTCGCAGACTAGCAACTATTCCCACTTAGCTATACACTATGAGTAGACAAATAATTTATTCTTGCAAAATAACATGATCTAAGCATATAAACCTGTACCTCCGCGTTCGGCTGTATGCGCTGTAAAATCTCGTTGATGTTTTTAATTGCTAGACTCAATTAATTAGGATGTGAGTTTAACAACCTGGGTACAACTGTGATCGCATTTTTGAGAAATCGTCTTCAGTAAGCTGTTTATGGGACATCCAAAAAAACAGATGCCGTACGCTACGAGTTGGCGTATCACTTATTAGAAACGGTCCTCCTGTACGAGGATGATTGTGCAAAGTTTTAATAGAGGCGACTTTTGGCTCAGTATTTACTGCACGAACCCAAAATCCAGATTGACAGTGGCAATATTTCTACCTAAAGGATAAATTCATTCGAAATAAGGCATACGTAGATGACCGACGTCGTCTTCTTTGTCTAGGTTGTGGTGATGAATGGGATAAGTTTAAGGCTACATTCGAATACGTAACGTCGCCGTTTATCCCATGGTCAGCACATAAGCTATCACATTTCCCTCCATGGATTAATCAGGAAAGTCGGAAGCTGGTAAAGCGTAGGAAACACTTTTGAGACTTCTTCTTGTTGACAGGTCACGCATCATTTAAGCGTCAATACCGAAAATTCCGTAATATCTGTAAGAAAACCATAGCTAAATCCCGTACTACTTACGAACGACAGTTAGTATATAATATCGTACTTGTCCGAATGGATTGTTTTCGTATGTTAAACGGCTAGTAAAACGTTATGAAGGTATTCTCCCGTTACTCTTACACGAAAATTCAGATTTACTAGCTGAATCAGATAGGGCGAAAGCTGAGGCTTTTTCAAACTATTTTGACGAAGTCATCTCTACGTTTATTGTAACAAATACTTGCCACACTCACACCGGGATACCAACCATTGAATCTGCACAGGTGGCTGAGGAAACTGTCCTTCCGTTGATAACTAACCTCAAACCTGGTAAGGTACCGTGCCCTGACGAGTTACATCCATGGCTGTTGTCATCTCTTATGGACATTATTTCAAAATCGCCTGCGACACTCTTCAACATGTCCCTTTCACTCGCCCAACTCCCGAGAGATTGGAAGGACGCTATAGTCAGTCCCATATTTAAGGACAGTCAGAGACAAAATATCTAACTACCGGTCTGTCAGTCTAACTAGCATAGTCGTTAAGTTACTTGAAAAGATAATTCGGGTTAAGTTGCTAACCCACATAGCTTCACACAATCTGTTAGCTCCTGAGCAACATGGATTTAATAACAAGCGTTCATGCTTGACTAACTTACTTATTACGAGAGAGGATTGCACAGCAGCCCTAGATAACATTCTGTCTGCCGATGTGATATTCATAGATTTTAGCAAAGCATTTGACAAGGTTTCACACCTAGGTTTTTTGCAGTAGCGCACGACCTTCGGAATAATAGGTACTGTACAGGAGTGAATAGACAACTTTTTATGTGACCGCAGACAGAGAGTGAGAGTCAATGAGGCGCTATACGATAGGAAGCCGGTCAAAAGTGGTTTACCTCAAGGCACCATCTAACGTCCATTGCCGTTCCTTCTCCACGTTAATGAGTTTCCGCTGTTGCTTAGGTCGTCGACATTTTTATTTGCGGATGACGTAAAAATCGAGAGAACAATAAAAAGTGAGGCTGATCATCTGGATCTTCAAGCTGACTTAGACGATTTAGTTAGATGGGCTCGAGGCTGGAGCTTAGAAATCAATGCTAGGAAGAGTGTGCTAATGCACGTCGGTCACGGTAATAGTTACCATTATACTTTTGATGGTAAACCTCTTCCATGCGTTCAAGAGCATAAAGACTTAAGAGTAATAATAAGTCATGACTTAAAAACAACTACGCATTGCAGGGCAGCCGCTGTCAAAGGTTTTCGTGAGTTATGGTCACTTCGCCAAGCGTTTAAGTCTTTTTACGAGGAAACGGTTCGAATTTTGTACCCTATATATGTAAGACCACATTTAGAGTACTGTATCCAAGCAGGTAGCCCGTGTCTGGTAAAGGATACTAACTCATTTGAGCGTGTCCAGAGTGTGGGAACAAAATCAGTGGAGAGTCTATCTAAACTCCCTAACGATGAGCGTTTAAAAGTTTTCCCCTTGTCGTATCGTAGGACGTGATGTGACCTTATACTGGAATTTTGTATCTTTAATTATGATTTGGGTGTTAATGTGTCTTATCTTTTTGCTCCCTCCTTCACTAATAATCTCAGAGGTCATAGCAAGAAGGTTCACAAACCACGATCTAATAAACTTAAAGTGGGGTCCCGTTTTTCTCAGCGAGTAGTCAATGATTGTAACGCCTTGCCCCAACAAGTGGTATCAGCCCTATCAGTGAATACTTTCAAGAAGAAGCTGGACCTTCATTGGAAAGCAATATGTCAGGATTAATACAGGTTCATCAATCTACTATCCTTATTACTGAATATAATATGGACGTATACGTCCATATGTATAGACATTTTTGACAAAAAATATTTTTGAGTTGGGTCATCATTGTTCTTTCTACATACTGACATATTGCAAGCTTGGTTACTGAGCGTAACCGGATTCACGCAAGGTCACAATCGAAGTGTAAGAATAATAATGGAAGCACAATGTAGCCGTCACTAGCACAGTTAAACAAAGAGCACATTAAATCAAGCACTGGCACAATTGGTTATAATAATAATTGTTTCCATTAAACCACTCATGTTCTCGTGATAAAAGTCACCACAATATCATTGGAGATTGGTCCTACATCGTGCATCATCACGATGGCGGCGTTTTCGTTACTTGAAAGGTGGACGTTATCAGACAGCGTGACTGAGCTCTAGAAATGTCTTGATTTGACCGCTAATGCAAAACTTTACGAGTAGTCGGGGCGATGCACCAATCATTTTACGATGGTTTGACCTTCAAGTGCACAGCAACCCCTGACAGAAGACGATACTCCTAAAGCGCTGCCTTTCAACTCTTTGTGGCGTCACACCACTTTGATGAGTGTAGGTAGGTGGCTATCTGTCATCGCCTCGATAAAAACAACACAATATTCACCTTCGGGATTATCAAGGCACCTAAAATATATTCTGAAACAGTAGCTATAGCTACCAAATGTAATACAGCAATTCCCGTATGGTTTGTGCCAGCCAAGCCCATTTTTTCACTATACAATTGTATAGTGAGACACTTAAGTGTCTCATATCCCATGTGTTCATAGAAATCCGTAAATAACCTCGATGTCAAAGATGATAGTTGTTTATACACAGTGAACGACTGGGTGATCTCATATTCACCCAGGTTGCAACCTGGGCTGCACTTATAAAGTAGCTACACCAACTAGTTTGTGTTCGTAACCATTTACCCTGTTAGTTTCTTGGGGGTGATCTAATATTTTCAACACTCAGCACCTAAGTTTGTTTTTTCTCTAATGTCCACATACACCGATCGAAAGAATGTTTCTTTTCAGTTACCGATATTACTCCACCGTGGAAATTCCTTTTACGAAGCTAGTTGAGAACATTCTATCCAACTGAGTTTGAAAATCTATGTTGACATTAAGTTTAGATGCGTGTCTGTCAGCATTTGATGAGGAACCAGGGGAGTACTACATAGTTGGTTTTAAAGGTTCATGCTACTATTATCATTATGGTGCTCAAGGTGTGAATGACCAAGTAAGTTTTAAAAACAAATTATTTTAAGGGCTGGGGCTGTGGCTACAGAACACTGCAAACCACTTTATCTTGGTACAAGCTTACGAAATCCTGTCCTTTCGATGTACCTACTTTACTTGAAGTTCAAAATATATTGCATGAAATTGGGGACAAGCCTAGAGCTTTTGTAGGCTCTCATGATTGGATTGGAACATACGAATGTGGATTAGTAATACAATACGTGACAAAGGTAGGTCCTGATTCTATAAAGAGCTGTTAGCATGATTTTAAGATAATACGTGTGGAAAATGGCCTTTTTACGGAGGAAATCATCAAATTGCTTGTTGATCATTTTCAAGCACACGGATCACCAGTCATGCTCGGTAAGTAGAAACCTCGTCTAACTTTTTAGGAGGACACGACGACAGTTCATCAAAAGGAATCATTGCAGTAAAAACGTTTCCTGATCAGCCAACAATGTTGCTAATTTGTGTAAGTTGGTTAAGCGATGTCTAAAACACTGATCAGATCTCGTTTGTGTTACGAACATGTGTGTAGATTAAGATTGATACCCGACAATTAAACCAATACCTAAAATCTTTGACTCAACAGTCTAACACTTTGTAAACTAAATGGTTTAAACCACTCATTAATTAATAAAATTATTCATTATCAACCATATTCATCTTACACTTGAACATAAATATAAGAGGAAGTGAATGGTGCAAAACACTACCAGACTATACACCACAGTGTATATATTACTTAAGTGAATCCAGCATCAGTCCAGGCTAAAATTCCATTTGCTTTTAAATATGGCGAAATGCTCCTAATACTACCAATGAATTTGTATACACAAACCTAAACAGCGATGAAAGCTTTTGTAAACCTGAATACGAAGTCCCAAATGTGGTTCTTCAAGTTTTGTTTGTGGATTTTAAACATTAGTGTTTACTAAGTTATCAGCATGGAAGTCTGAAATCCACATCTATTAACCTAATGGGGAACTAAGAGTGAAAGCATATCAATGATCAAGGCGACTACAACCAACCAATACGCTGCAACTTGGTATCACGTAGTGAGGCGTGATATACTATTACATACATGAAATAGTTGGATCTAAATGACGATTTAATTTCGCTTTAGTATTTATATCCTGTGCATTTGTCAAGTGTGATGTCTATAGAGTAAATATGACCTAAAGACCAATTCTTTTACTGTTTTTAAGGATCCCCACTGTTTTGAAATACATGGCAGCCCAACTATCGCTAAATTGTGCAAGGGAAAGTGGTTACGATGGTGCAGAGTTACTGAATTGTCAGAAAGACACTTTTATAATTTGTGTTTGCCTTTATGAACAAATACATTTATTTTATAAGACGGAGCTTATGGTATGTCCTTGCAGAATTTGTCATACGTTTCTTTGAGAATAAGATAAGAGTCCAAATACCGTTCTTCGTTATCGCGACAGGCAGCTTTCCATCTGCAAATTAGAAAAACTAGCGAGTATTCAATATGACCATGATATTATTACACAAAAGTATCTTGTATAAACTCATGGTATCAGTTTACACTGTCCCGAAAGCTTCAGTGTGATTTGATGGGTTAAACGTTAGAAAAATACGACTACGTCATAGTGTGTATTCTACACGACAACAGATACTTCGAGAAATCCAAACTTGTGGGACGTCTCAAATGGAGAAAATTAAAGAGGGCAAAATATACCGCTTACACTCAACTTCCCTATTTTGGGGAAACCGTTATACAAAACTTTGGAGAAATAGCACAAAACTCCCATAATTTCCCCAGGTCAGGGAGAAATCCCCAAAATGCTTGGGGGAATTTAGGGTTTTTCCCAATATTCCCCCAAAATCTTATAACACTAAGGAAAACCCCAAAATAAGGAGATCGAGCATAAAGAAGTGTCGCGGAACAAGGACATTAGCTAACAGTTAGCATGGTGGGGTTAAGAATGTACTACAATCAGGATTGCAAACTGTACTTCAAATAACTTCGCTAACTCGATATGATGATCAGTAGCGGACAGAAATTATGATCCGCAGTTTATAGAAAGACTGAATTCGATATTTTAATAGTGATACTTATATTTTGTCACGTAACTTTCTCTGAAATGACTGTGGGACAGGAGTTCGGTAATTCAATTACTCAGTAACTAGGTTAGTTCGATCTTATCGCCTCCGACAGTATTTCCATCTCATTTTTATATGATAATGATGACCACTGTTCAAAATGTTTGTGTGGTTTGCATTTAAGATGAGCCGTAGATATTAAGGTGAAACCAAACATTCGATCAAGAAGCATTTCAAATGAGACTAATTTGCAACAATTCGCCTAATAGTTATCGATGTAGTCAACCATTTTACTTAAAAAAGCTATTAGTCTGTAAGATATTCCATCACTTCTTAGCTAGAGTTGATGTATTATGAAAGTATACATAAAATTGTCCGGCAGTTTAAAAAAAGGTACCTACTTTCTTCGGATTTCTCTCCAACGAACAATGTGCTGTTCCAATAATCCCTCAGGAGACATTTCCTTAGGTGGGTTCTAAATGTTTATAGAATGTTGACAAAAGCACCGAAAATTACCTCAACGTTTATAAGGAATGGCTGACCGTCCGATGGGAGAGGAGGCGGTATCCTGATGTCATTATCGGTCAATCCATCACTTGGCTTAGGTAGCGTGTAATGACAGTCAGGCAACTGATCACTGTTCTATATTAGAAATGCCAACAAAGACAAACCATCAAAACCAGTTCATACGGAAAGATATAGATGAAAATTCTAGAAAATGAGCAAGTGCCATACACTAAGTAGAAGAAAAGACTTATTTAACAATATGGTAGGCATTTGTTAGTACACGTCTATAGAGGCATCGATGTGAATGGCTACAATATACAGAAAAATGCTCATTAATTTCCAGGATTGTTATATGAGATTTTAGTGCATCGAAGTCACTGAAGATCCCACACTGCTTATAGGTTCACAGTAAGATTTTGTCACCAACCAAATATATCTATTATTCAGTGCCACGCGGACCCCAACCAAGTAGTCTGCACCTACCAACATGGCTCAAACCAGAAGTTGGTGACTTTGCGGACTGATGCCACGTTTTAGTTTGGCCGCCTCTAACTTTCTTCAACACTAGTCAGCATTGCGTGTCGTGGTAATCGGTGTTCGTGCATACGTAACACGTGGCCGAACAATCTCAGTTGATGAATATTTGCAAACCCACCAACTGATTTACCATCATTCCCTAATACTCTGCGTCTAACCTTACTATTACTTACCCGGTGATCCCAGCAGATGCCAGCAATATTCCTGAGGCATCTGTGGCCAAATACTAGTAGCTTACGAGTATCTTCCTAACGTTTCGCATCCGCAAAGTAGAACAGAACGAACTGACGAGCAGTATATTCACCTTTTTTTGATAGACGGATATCTCGCCTTCGCTATAGGTGACGTAAGTTGACAAACGCCAAACGAGCTCTTCGAATCCGTGCAGAGATTTCATCAGACACTAACCAATTTGGGCTGATCAGGCTTCCAAGATAAGTGAAGTTGTCAACGCGTTCCACTACTTCACTCCCTATCCTTAGTTCAGGTGTTGACGCAGGCCGGTTCTGAAGCAACAACTCGCATTTAGAGGGGGAGAAATGCATCCCAAATATTCTGGCATTGCTGCTCAGTGCCACCAAAAGACTGCATTTTACCAGAGTCTTCACCAAACAAGACTATATCATTTGCGTATTCCTAGTCGATAAATGGACCTCCTGGTAGGAGACCGATGCCCGAACATTCAGTCGACGAGAGCGTTATTTCTATCAGTTTGCGTGTGATAAAGTTAAACAAAAATTGAGATAGTGGACAGCCTTGCCAGATACTACTTGAGGTTGCAAAAGCAGATGACAGTTCGCCATAAGCTCTGACTCGACTAGTAGTGTTCGAGTAAAGGGCCTTCACAGGGTTTATGTACTTCTGAGGTACGCCTTTCAATGTCAGACACTGCCACAGAATCTCGCGGTCTACCGAGTCAAATGCTGCTTTCAAGTCAAGAAAGACCACCATTGTCGGACGCCGATAAGCATGTCTACGTTCTAGAACCTGACGAATGGTGAATATGTGGTCGATGCAGCCACGACCAGGTCTGAAGCCAGCTTGATTCTCTCGTGTTTGCAGTTCACGAGTCTTACTTAAGCGTCTGATAATTATCGAGGCTAGTATTTTAGATACTATATTAGTTAAACTAATCCCTCTATGGTTGTCTTAGGATGATTTTGACCCTCTCTTATATATTGGGACGATAAGTGATTGTGACCAGTCAGATGGAATAACGTCTAACTCTTAGATCTTGGCTAAAATATTAGTCAACTTAATCGCTAAAATTGGGCCACCATCCTTAAAGACCTCTGGAGCCAATCCATCTGGACCAGCTGCCCTTCCTCGTTTCAGATTAACTACAGCCTTTTGAACTTTTGCTAGAGTTGGGGGACCTACTTCAATGTTCCATTCACACTGTCTGGGAATGGAGGGTAGTTGTAGAGTCGCTGAAGGCTGGCTGAACTGTTCTCTGAAATGTTCCGCCCATCGTTCTAAACGTCTGGACTGGGAGCGGATAAGAGTGTTGTCTTCCGAAATAGTTTCACTAACATTTGACTTCTTAATTTCGGTTTCTTTTGTAAGTCTGAAAAGCTGTCTGGTGTTACCTGCAGCCGCTGTCTTTTCCATCTCTTGCTTTTGTTGCCTACCACTGCTCACAGTCGTTCCTTAGACTTTTAGTTAACTTAGAACTGATTTGTTTTCGTTCTTCACCGGGTTCAGAGCCCGAAGGGATGAGTTTACGAGGATCTATCAGTTCAAGAGACTTAGTAGAAGTCCACTTGTTTTACGTAATCCTTTGGTTTGAATCACTAATAGATGTCACTGCTGTTTCCACAGCTGTTCTTACATCTATTCATGCAATATCTGGGTCAGTCTCGCTTTCACAACTACCTAAGTGTGATCTCAGTTGATTCTGGAATCTACTTTTGGCTTACTCGTCACTCAATTCAGTTTTAATGGGTCTTCTTAGTGTGGCTTTTCTGTGTCCAGTGAGGCCCAAGCAGATGCGTGCCCGTATTAGTGCATGGTCAGAGTCCAAGCAAGTATTTTAGAACGAGCGACAATCTTCTATTGACCCTCTCCAACGATGACTGATGGCAATATGGTCTATTTGAGTCTATCGTTGGTTTGTTTCGAACCCATTATAGAATTTGAACATGTGAATAATGAATTTAAAAACGCCTTTGGATCCGCCTGTACTTTTCTACCCTACTTCACAGTTATACACCTTACCCAGCTTTCAATTATTCATGCAGCTAAAATCTTTGCGTTAAATGTGGTAACGGTTAGTGTGATTTTCAGGAAACAGATTCCCATCTTTTCCTAATCGGTAACTGATAATAATTTCTGAAATACAAAGCTCACCCTGTTCAGTAGTCAAATGAAGAACATGGGCATACTTTAGGATGTTATTAACAACGACCTAATATTGTGTAAAACGACATGTACGCTTGTCGGATTTGCAGTGTTTGTATAACTCATCTATTTTGTTGGTTGACTCTATTGAAAAGCAAAGTTTCACTACTCGTTACAAAATGAATACAATACGATACAAAAAGAGCTAGGATAGCCATTCATTTGTAACGTACTAGCTTTTAAGACCGTACTAAATAGTGATGATTGTTACTGCATTGAGGAACGTTAGAGATATGATGTTTATTGGTTCACAAAATAATTCTTACCGACTACGAATTAAGGAGTGCATAAGATATAACAGGACTATGATGGTGAGTTGATATGGTCAAAATGACACTGCGTGAGATAATGCCTTTGATCGTGAAAAGGGATCGAGTCCCAACGATCATGCAACAAATGTGAATTGTAGTCTAGCAGCTTATTGTAGTCACACAGAAGTGGACTTGATAACGAATATGAGAGATTTGAAAACCAGATAAGAAGAAACACAAGAAGTTTGTTTGGATAATGACTTTGAACGATTTAAGATTAAACTGAGTGCGACATGAGGACAACAAACGTCAGAAAAACGAGATCCTAGATTTAATATGCACTTTATCAGGTTTCACGTTAACAGCAACATCTGGTAGCGGTACTCATTCACAAAGAACAGTAGAAGTCCGGAAACTAAGTACACTATTGTTATGAACTGTTGATACACTAACAGCTTATTGTGACCTTTTATTTGCTTTATTTGGTTATCTTTCATGGTTCACATGAGAACTGAGGGTCAGTTGAGAGTCGCTATGACTACTAGTAATGATAACGATGAAAAAATACGGGAGGAATAGACAATACTGAGTAGTTCTCAATCGCAAATAAATCCGAAGTTAGACTGGTATACTATAGGAACCTGAAACTGGAAAAGTATGTGTACAAAGTGAAGTTACAGAAAAAGGTGACGAGCCAACAGGTGTAAGTTTGTGAGGATTAATTTACTTATGCTGGCTAGACAAACTGAACACGAATACTTATTCAGATTAGCATAACAAATATAAGAATGAGTGGGTAGAAGTTTGCAGACGGTTCAACCAAGACACATCCCACAACGTATGAAATTCCCAGTTGAAGCTTATAAGAAAAATGTTACTGAATTCTCGGTCCATATTCTATGTGGTTGCTGCCTATCTGTCTTCGAATTAATAAGTGCTGATTTTACGTAATATCAAGAATTTCATTAGGGCAACAATGAGGCCCACTTAAGATGAAAAAGTCAGAGTCTACATGATACCAGTCAGTTATATTCAACGCAGAGCCTGGAATTAGATATCCTTAGGTAAGGAGTGATCACTCAACAAAACAATTAAAATTGGGTAACGTACCTCCTGGTCATCATCAACATTTGGAACATCATTCCATGATGAAGAATCACCCTGATTAAGATTACGTATCCAAGATCTAGCCATTGGATACAAAGGAGCGTTTTCGCTAAACTGTCCAAAGTCCACACTTCTCTCAAAAACCTTTATGACAAATGATTCTAAAATGTTAGTAAGTATTAATTCCTCAGAACCTTTGTATGTTTCTTCTTCTTCAGATGGTACTCGTCGTTTCTTCCTTTTAATATCATTCGGAGATACTTTATAAAATGGACTCCTAAACTTTTCCTTTTCTGAAGAATCTCGCCGACCAGCCATTTCATCCTTATACTTGGTGCTGGTCTTGCTAAAAAAATATGCCCATGAATGTCCATCATAAATGAGAATCGTACGTCTTAGCTGGGTCCTCTTTTAAGATCTGCAGCAACGAATCCAGTTTGTCACGAGCATACGAAAGTTCGGTTTCTATGAGGTTAATTTAGTGACAAGTGACAAACCTTCTTGATCAGCCCACCAACCGGTTTCGTTCCAACATGAACTCATTTTTAAGCAGTGTACTTAGTCACTCAACTGCAGGAGGAAAAAAACCAATCCACGTACAATCGTTGGCTAGTAGGCAGTCTGGAGCAAGCAAATAAAAAAGGTAAACATGTACATCCAGTAGTGAGACGGGTAAAATGTCTGTTAATGAGCAGTTAGAAAAGAATGCCTTACATACATAACTAAGCAACATTCTCATATTCATGTTAAAAGTCGGAATTTAATATGAACACATGGGAATTACTAACTAACTAAGCTCTTGTGTGTAGGCTTAAGACAAACGTTAACGAAAACAAAAAAAGCTATATGAAACCCTTTTTATTAATGAGTTGCTATACGGAGATGTTGTAACCTGTCCATAGCATATGAAGCATTACAGCAGAATAAAATAATAAACATAAACCTCGATCTATCTGCTTTTGAGACTTGCAAGTGTATTTACTCCTGGGAGATCATTTGATGATAATCAATTTAAAATAATTTTTAGAGCAGCATACGGTTTTCTTTTTAGTGCTCAATCCTTATTTTAGCAAATACGTATCTACTGAATTAAGGTTTGAGCATTAAAAAGAAAACCCTACCACCGGAAAGTAAGTTGACAACGTGGTTCAACCAAAACTTTCCTAGTTAAAGGAAAGTTTTATAATATTTGAAAGGTTAAGCTACACTACTCTGCAGGAACTATCCAGATTTGCAAATTGTGACTTGGTCTTTCTCCATAGCTCTTCTGATACGAATTGTGCGAATTCAACACCAATGCTTAGATTAATAATGAACATCGGCTGTTGACAATGATAAACGCTGACAATTGTCATTTATACATTAATGTACGCTAATTAGTATATAACGATGAGGTAGAACTTTCTACCAGACACTAAAGTGCCCATATTTAAACACATAGACTTGAGGTTGAGCACGGCTTCACAACAAACAGGTTACTAAAAAATATTTTCACCTACATATTGATACATAAAAACACACAAAGCAGGTTCTTGAGTACTTCAGGGTCAAGTAGCGATTACCTTATTGGTCCGTTTACTTTAGCCGCAAGTAGCCTAGGTTTGTTAGCCGTATGTCAATATACAATATACGGCTACCTTGTAGGTTTCCTCTCAATGTTGTCGGAAATTCCACGACAATGTGGATCCTAAATGATGAAATTTTATGCTATTTCCCACCAACTAAACTTCATTGTAAACGTACTGTAGCTGTGAATAAATTTCCGAAATCAATAGCTTTGTGGGTCTTCAACATTTGGTTCTGACCACATTATTTTAATTGGACTAACCTGGGCTAAGGTGCTCAATCACGCATCCGCACCAGGTTATGAGCGGGTACGCTATGCTTCGCATAGCTTTTAACAGTAAGCCAGCTTAGACCTGTATCGGTAAATAAATCTTCAAAGGCATTGTCAAGCTCTGAATATTTGTGACATCTTCAGACCAGATGTTCATCGACCTACTAGTGGCATTCCGAATATAACTTCGAACCCTTGCTTGTTTGTCTTCTGATTTGACTGGATTGGTATATTTCGAGGATAGAGAAGTTTGTGCTGATGATGTCGTTCAGAAGAACGATGAAAGCTCTATGACCAAACCATCCAGCTCAGAGAACAAAACTCCACATAAATCATCCACCTGAGCTACAAATCTTTTCCACCATCTCAATGTACAGACATTCGTAGACGCATGTGAGTACATAGTTAGGAGTTATTAATTATTTATACGAGTGGGCGAAAAATAATCACTGGAATTGTAACTGGCCATGAGATAACTAAGGAATCCATGAATATTTTTTTAACACTGCTCCAAAATACATGTGCACAAAATAACGGGAAAGAAGCGAAGTAATTAACGTGTTCAGAAATATACGCGAAGTTTCTACGAGGTACGCATTTCTTACTGTTTAGGATATCCGACGCAAATATAGCGATTAGAAATATTCGAGCGATTGTGCCAACTAGGAATTCTCGGACTAGTACGACCTCAGCCAGACAGAATTAGATGAGCACGAACGAACGTACTGTCTTTGGAATTCGTAACAAGCGGGTAATCAAGTGCAAAGGAATCACTAATTCGTACAACCACCACAAACAGATTCTCGCCTGTTGTTTCATATTCCCTGTCACATCTGAAGGTCTCATACTTTGCGCGCTCACTTCGCCATCCGTGACGTCAGAAGAGAAACAGATCTCAATTAAAACTATAATCTTCGGTACGGCCTAAAAACATGTATTGCTGATCTCTCAAATTTTACGCTCAACTCTTCGTACATTTCTGTCTAAGTACGTGAATATCCGGTGCTTTTTTTATAACAGCATCAGAGTTGTTTGTCAGGGTCAAATGACCATTCACTGTATTTTGTTCAATTGCTCTGATGTCTTCTTGCTCATCCTGTTTAGTCTTCACTAAATCGGACGTCGCAAATCAGTCCATTCCTCGTGTTGTGCCACGTTAAAGTAACATTGATTAAGTCCCCATGATTTCTGAAGTTTATAGCAAGTACAGGAGAGATAGTCGTTGTTAGATTCGGCAGATGAGGAATCCGTAAAACATAAATTGTAGTGATTTTATGGACTAATAACCACCAGTTCTATACGTCCTACACGTCAGTTTTGTCCGGGTTACCAGAAGTCAAATGACGTACCCCATCGTCAACCATGTTGATTGGTTCTTTAGTAGTTATTGATAAATTCCTTACAGCATCTCCTGCAGGCCTCGGTTTGTCATGCTTAACTTTAATATTCAGATACCACCGGACAGTCAGTTTCCAAGATATTAGTTCGGTGTTCTCTATTATCTATGCTGATTCCAGGGTCGTTCTTAGTACAGGAGCTTCTGGTTCTGCACAAGTGGCACACTATGACTAGAGTAATACCTATACCAAGGAAGGTATGAAATTTGCCCTCCTACGTTTCAGCAGACAACATCCAGATTCTTAGATATCAAATAGAATCAAAGGGGTCTCTTAATATCTGATATTTTACCGTCGATTTTGGCGTAGTGGTTACCGTTTCATCATCTCTTCAAGTAGCCACCGATTATTCTTTCACATTTTCTGCAATCGACGGTGAAGGAGCTGTTGAATTCTTAGGTAAATATGGTAATAAGTACATCTTGTAATTAGCTTGAATTATAGATTTCTCAGTCATATTTCTGAATGTCACCGTTTGAGATGTATCCGTAAGTACGGGTGACTATATATTTCTCTTTTGTTCGTCTAGTTGGCGGCCATTTCTAATACTCTGAACGTAAATGCTGGGACTAGGTACGAGTGACTAAGCATGTACCTGTTTTATTGTTGAGTTTTGTAATCTGGATAAGGTAGTGAAACTTAATCACCTACCGCAAAAAAGGAACTTGAACACTATGAACTTTATTCTAACTGGCGGAGCGTACGCCATACAATTATTGTTATTGCATCTTTCTCATCTGACAGGTGATGCTCTTGAGTAACTGATTTTGATGCATCCCTTACTTTCGTTGTTTTGTTTCTCACCAGTGTGGTCCTCGTTTCTTAATGAGATACGTGCTTTTGGTGTTCAAGTTCTTTGACCAGTAAAGTAAGCTTCACCACTGGATGCTTTACTCAGTTTGATGTTGAGGTGTCTTCCGAGGCTCTGGTTAAATATAGAAATTTTTCACTTATAATCATTCACTATGTGAAATGATTTGGACATGTGTTAAAATTGGAAGAAAAACCTGTGGTATGTTCATTATAACTACTTAGTATGAACACTAGACATTTCTAATAGTTCTATTAATTAATTTCACCTATTTTGAAGCATTTTATCATAAGCCTAGCATTACTTCTATTTTGAAAATAGTTTTTCACTGTTTCTTTAATCTCATTCAGTAATTTTTTAAATATTTATACTGGTCTTTGACCCAACGGTAACAATACTTCCAACTCAGTGTGATGATTTATTGTTTTTTAATCACTATTATTAATTGTTAGCCAGAAATGTCACTAACTAAAAAGTCAAACATATACAGAAACAAATATTTGTTATTGTCTTAATTGACCTTTACAAATACGCTTCTGAAGGTTTAGAGGAAAAGATATCATATTTTCAGAAGGGGTTTTATGGATATTATAGTAATTTTAATAGTTGAGATCATGAGTCAATTGAAGCTAGATCGGACGATGTTATCGACGGGTTCACCACTTTTTTCGCCTGAGACCTGGCCCCTATTAGATCGGACAAATGATGTTAATTAAAAAATTACTGTCGAAATATACATCCTGACTATTCTCATATGTATTTATCGACTTAACTCGCGTTAGTGAATAACAGAATTAAATAAGCCAAATACGAGAATGGATTTTTGAATGCGTATATTTTGTACACTGATTGATTTGAACAAACAATCAGAGGAATGAAGCGAAGAGAAGGTAGAGAAATGAAATGACGTGCAATGGAAATGGAGTGAGAGGCAACTCGATTTAATTAAAAATTTATAGTCACACAAAAATAAACTATAGACATGTAATGAGTAGGATGTAAACACACATACGCTCATATAAAAGCAGTAAGGGTTGATAAGTGAATAACTAAAAAGGTGAAAACGTGGCTCACGAAGACTGGATAAATTAGCCTGTCCAGAAGGCTAGAATAAGTTATTTGGGCCTAACATAGTAATTGACACTACACAATATGGGTTATGTAATAAATAATATTTCAATTACTTTTCATTATTCTTTGTACATCACAAAATAATAATGGATAACTGTATAGATATAAACAAGAACTAAGTATATGTGTTAATCAGAATTAAATGGAGTTGTGTTTTAAAAAAAAGCGGAGATCAATATAACTATTAGCGACATGCCCGTAAATACACGTTTTCGATTACACTGCCTCTTACAACCTGCTCGTTACGTAGTATATTTTCCAGATACAATATTGTATAACTTTCATACTTTTACTTGCATACATGGATTCTAGTGTTTCACTGTCTCGCTCTATCGGAGGATGTGCAAAGAGAAAGATGTGAATGAGGTAGATGGTTAGTTTTTTATAAAATAACACCTTCCAAGGGGACTTCATCTTTGTAATGTTTTCCCAATTAAACTGATTTCACTGAAAAAGTACACTATTTATTCAGTATTACACACTGATTAGTCAATGGATAGTAAGCCATATATATCGTGAAGCTGTGTTTAATACTTTCCACAAAAATGAATGTGGTTTTATTGTAGACAGAATATCAGAAAACGGTTTTTTGGGATTCCACTTACTTCATAATGGACCAAGTAGACTGATAGCTGATAAGGAATGATTCCAAAAATTCATCACGTCGCGTATTCTTATTCCTTTCTACATGATAAATATGTCACCATTCTCTCTCTTACAAAGTCAGATTATGAATATAGAGCCTAGTCAGTGTTATGAAACGGAAAAGTCTTGTACTGAGGTTTCCGAATACATAGAGTATTTGAACTGGATAAAATACAGTATACTGCTAACTGGAAGCTGAAACTTAAGTTGATCAGGCATATGATTCGTCGATGTAAATCTATTGACACAATTCATTTGACGTCTCATGAACGTCCTATGAATTTCTGACAATTAGGAGAAATTTCGATAGCCTTTATACTAGAACTTGAAAGTGTCAAAGTTTGTTAACTTTCAAATAGACAGAGTTAACTCATTTTTATTCCTTATAAGAAGTAATAATGTTAAGCATGGCTACATATAATTTTTATCAACTAAGCTGTTAACTGTAATCTCACCGTGTAAAAAATGACAGTTGTCGAGAAAAATGTATGTTTATTGAGAGACGTTTGCGACACACCTAAGCCCTTCACTATGTCTGACAAATATCGGAACTTCAACGTCACGTCCCGCTACACACTACTAACAGACAGTCTTATGAGTAGCGTCCACTACAATACCATAAAGATTTTAAATTTAAATCCATCTTAAACTTACTAATTATATCACAGATTCTGAACAAAATGACCTTGAGTATATCGATAATGAATAAAAAAAATTATTCATAACTAGCTTAGCCAAATGCTTAT